TGCATGGTTCCTGCTGAGATATCTGAGCTTAGTCTGACTTGCTTGCCTTTGTATGTGACCCTTCTGTTTTCTCTTGCTGCTTTCAGAAGCGTCTCCTTGTCTTTGAGTTTGGAGAGCTTGACTATGATATGTCTTGGTGATTTTCTTTTGGGGTCCAACCTTCCTGGACTTCGTTGGGCTTCTTGTATGTTTATCTTTTCGCTTTTGAGGATGTTAGAGAAATTTTCTTCCAGTAGTTCTTCGACTATTTCCTCTGTGGACTTGTGTGATTCTTCTTGTTCTGGAATGCCAGTAATTCTTAGGTTATTCCTCTTCATGTTGTCCAACATGAATCTTAGACCTTCCTCCGATTTTTTTTACCCTTTTTTGTGTTTGTTCTATCTTAGTGGTGTTGAGAGACTTGTTTTCCAGCTCACTGATTCTTCCTTCCATCTCATCTATTCTACTCTTCTGCTCTTTCAGGGTGGTTTCTATTTCTGATGTTTTGTTATTGATCGTCTGGACTTCTTTCTGTAGGTTTTGGATTGTTACCAATGCTGTATCTATCTTGTTTGATTGTTCCTGTAGCGCTTTTCTGACTTCTTCCTTATTTTTCTCAACATCATTGTAAAGTGTTTTGAAACATTTTATAATCATTTTTCTGAATTCTTTCTCAGGCATTTCCAAGGTCTGCCCTCCTTCCAGCATGGAGCCCAGATCTGCTTCTGGTTCACTTGTCTCATATATTTTATCTTTTTTCTGGACATGTGCCGATATTGTCATCTGCTTTTGCTTCTTGGACATGTTTAATGTTAATCTGTGGCCCTAATACTTAATTGAGTATGTATTTTGGTAATTTTTTATGTTTTCTGATTGCTTCCAGGAAGATGTAGTCACGATGTAGTCTTCCCTTTTCACTCTTCTTATTGCTTAATTCAGAATAACTTTCACAGGTGTTGCCTGTTTCCTTGGTATATGGCAGCTGGTATTGGTTCTTGCCTGGGTTTTGGTGTTTTATAAAGGGTTATTGCAGCTTGGCTATTTGGCAGCAGTTGCTGACTCTTTTCATGTAATGTAGGAAGACAAAGAGTCTTCCGATAGCAGAGGGGACGCTATATGACAGCCAAACAACACCAGTCAGGTAGAAAACAAAACCAAAGTCAAAATAAAAAACAAAAGCGATAATGATGGAGCGAGCGTGCCTGAGGGAGCCAGCATTCACCGAAGACCCACCTGAAAGAGGGATGTCATCTGCATTTCCATTGAGG